TGGCTCATACTCTTGGTGTAAGTAGCTCGGCTTCAATCCTAGAATTTGTCTTTCGGTATGCTAAGTTTCCTTTTTCTGTCTATTCGGCGTTGATAGTAAATGTTTTTTAGAAGCATTAACCTTATTGGTAATCTTGTACTCTAGTATTAGGTCACCTCCATTTCTGCGGTAGTTACGGGTGAATAGATCAAGTTGTTGGAGACGATTAGATTAAAGTTTACCCTCTAGTCCCATGACAAATTGCGTTAACCTTTCTCATCACCTCCTTTAAACGGTTCGAGTCTCGCTTAAGCAGTGGATTTGCCTCTGTGTTGAGAACCTCATTGTGTTGCCTGACAAACGTTTTAAGACTATTAGAAAGAGTTCGGGAGTAACAGCCCTAAGCTACTTCCGAAAGAAGTGTGCAACAGAATTTGAGTTTTCAATCATTACCTTATAATGAGGCTTAAATCTTCCTATCCGGTCACCCTTAGGGTTTAATTTGATGTGCTAGCTTCAGCTGGTCGAAAATAAATTGCTTCTAACTTATGCATGTTAAATGTTGGACTGTTTTTGTCCAAGATTTTCTTTGTGAGAGGTCATGTTGGAGCTGTTCTTTGTCATTACTCTCACATATAAGCCGCTATATTTTAATGTCAACTGCGAATAGTAGCATGGAAGAGAAAAACCCTGGTGAATCGCTTATAAAGAGCAGATACATAAGTAGGCCAAGGATTGCTCCCTGAGACAATTTGGATGTGTGGACCCTGCATGCAGACCATGTTCTCTTAGCCTTGATGCAGAATTCCATACCCTAGATCAAGAGATTATAAGTTCACTGATTCTCGTTCCCTAGATTTTTGTTAGCAAATTGTTGTGTAGGGCATTGTCAAAGCTTTCACTAGGTCAAGCAAAACAGTGTTTACTGCTTGCTTATTGTCCCGGCTAGCCACTTCATCGTCCCAGCCGATCAGTAAGCTGGTCGCATAAGACTTTTCTTCCCTGAAGTTATGTTGAGTGTAGGCTTTCCAGTATCTTGATGAGTGTGGGTAATAGGGCTACAGATCTGTAGTTGGTTGCATGTTTTCTGTGGCCTTTAAGTATTGGGGATAAGGTAACTCACTTCCACTCTCTTAGCGTTTGGTTCCTCGCTAGTGAATTTGTCAAAGATATGCAAAGGACTAGACTTAGTTCCCCTGGTGCACTTCTTCAGTGCTACTGACCTTAACTCATTACAACCTAAAGATTTTTCCGGTTTTACCTTTGAAATATTTTCGAAAATTATACCTAGTGAGATTTTGACATTTTGCAGTTCTTCGCTACAGTTGCCAGCTGGCGGAACATTTGTAGTTAGGATGAGCTGTGGATGCAAATTTTTACTGTTAAGTTATGAGTCATATCACAAGAATAACAGCTTAGCTCTTTCCTCACTACTCAGAGGTTCACCATTCGGATTCTTTATGAGGTCGACACCTTCATTTGTTGGTCGCCTCTGTGACATGAGGGGCCATAAGTTTTTGTGGTTATTTCACAGTAATTCCCTCAGGCTGATTTAATATTGATACTTGTTGCTTCAGAACCCCCCGTTACACCGACTACGCACTCTGTTGTAGGCAAAGAAATCTGATTCACAGTCTTAGTGTTCAGTGAACAGGATTGTGAGCTACTACTCTGTATTATTTCCTGCAGTAATTATCACTATCGAGATGCAGTTCTTCCTAGAATTTGTTCATCAAAAGAGCTGCTAACAATTGCTCTGGTATTGAGTTTAAGCCATTGGTCACGCTAAAGAGAAATGTTGGGGTATGAGGGGATCGAAGCAATAAACTATATTATAAATGTAGGATGTAGTGTTTGTAAAATACATGAAAGATTTGGGAATAGGGTTTAGTGAATAAAATGAAATGTTCATCGCATCAATACGAGTTTATCAACACTTCTAGACTTAGATTAGAAAGTTTTCGGAAAACCTTTGGAGTTCTAAAGTCGACTTCAGGCCATTTTTACAGCCCAAACCGTTTCCTGTCTTGGGTTTTACTGAAGATGAAAAGTGGTATTTCCTGCTTAGGAACACAGCTTGCTTCATCCAAACAATCAGTTTTCAGATGAAACTGTTGAACAGTATCTAAATGGAGTAGTCAACTGAATAAATGGGTATTACTCATCTCCACTCTCTTGCTGGTCAAATCCGAACGGTATTACTGGTTGTTAGTGGCGGCCGCTGCATGGTGGTGAGACTTGACCACCAAGAAAAGGCTACATGATTTTGACCATATGAGTCTTCGTAGCACTGCTCAAGAGAAGCGGAACTGTTGAGGTCAGTCGAATGGTACTAAGTAGGTAGGGTAAGTCAATCACTAAAGTTATGAGACTTTACCGGCTGAGATAGGTTGGATATATGTTGCAAATACTAAGCTACTGTCTAAAGTGACTTGGAATTTTAGCGGTAGTAGGTTAAGGTGGACAGAAGGCTAAAAGAGGCCAGAAGAAGCCATTTCATCAATCCATTTAGTCTTTGACTGTTCGGCTAAGTTGTGCAGGGAGGTGTAGTCTCTCTGGTTGGAATCTTCGAGATGATAGAATTCACCAGTTGAAGACTCTTCACTTCATAGCCAAAAATCAATCGCAGTGGCATCTTCTAAAGTTTGGAAATCTTCACTTATCTGCTTTCTCTCTTCCCTACTTTGATATCAGTCTTCGTCTACCCACTTCTTTGGGTGTCATTGTGAAATGTCGCAACTTGAGCCGTTGCATCATTGCACAGGGTTTTACTCTAAACATGTCTTTCTATTCATCTGCTATCTTTTCTCTCTCACTAGTCGTGCGACTAACGTGTTACTTGAATAAATGCAATCTCAATTAAAAGCCTGTAAGATTTTTAGTTGAACAAATAGAATCCTGTGTGTTTCTGAATCCCAATGACTTGTACAGCACTTCGCTTGCTTTAGTGTCTCGAACCAGTTCATTTTGCTATCATTCATTCATGTGAATGTTCTCCATTTTAATTATCGAATCAACTGTACCTATTCATCTAATATGATGCTGTTGTACAGTTACAAAATAAAAACTGTAAGAATTTTTTAATATAAGGTTACAAAATTTTGAAATACCTTTTGGGCATATAACACTTTTATTTGGAGCCCTATCGAGAATATGGAGTCACTGAACAGCTGTTTCATCCTAGTATGGGATTTTTCAGCAGTGTACCCGGATGATACCATCAGGGATTGGATCCAAAACCGTCAGGTCTCTTAGCGATCATATTACCATTCGGCTACTAGGTTAAAGTCTAATGGTTAACACTTTTTCGTAATTCTGTCAGCTGGTGACATAGTGTGACCGTCATGCTGCTGTTCATTCTATCCTTTAAAGTAGTTATCAGATACAGACGTTAAAAGTAGAAGACATTGAGCAGTTACAAGATTTTAATCACAGGTGTCTCCGTAGAATTTCTAGCGTACGGTGGAATCATGGTGTAAGCGACCTAGAGATTAGGCAAAAGGCAGTAGGCAACGCAAATAAGTTGGTTGAGATCGCTTGGTCATGTACCGCGCTTGCTGAGCCATCTTCTACCTTGACGTACAATGCTAGGGGAAGTTGAATTTACTTAGAAGAGGGTTCAGAGTAGCCAAACTAAAAATGTAGCATCCGGTCGATAAAATCCCTGACTATTGGTTTGAACTGCGTAGGGAAGTGTAGACTGTCTAGTGGGAGTCCCTTAGTAATATGGCTGAAAATTGGTCAAAGTAACGTCAATGTATTGACTCTTTGATGTCTACTAAGACTAATATTTTGACTAATTTTAATTTATAAATGAAATCAGAGAAAATCAAGGTAGAACATCTCACATAAGTATAACGGTTCAAGTTGCTACATTTCACAATAGGTGGATAGAAAAAGAGCGATATTAAGGTGGACAAAGTTGTATGAGAAAATAAACAGTTTGAAGATAAAACATGAGTAGAAATATTCAAGCTTTAAAAGACATTAAAGAATGAACACATCATAACAGAAGGGATGTACATCATCATTCATCATCAAGATCAACATAGAACTAGGCATTACTGCGTTATGGTTCAAGCTGCCATACCTCACCTCATTTCAAGTAACAAGACAATAAGATAGAAAATGAAGAAGGAAACAAAATCGGTCAAAGGAAGTAGAGAGTAGTAAAAGAAAGAAAGGAAAGAATAAAAAGGTGACGTGATTAAGTAAATCGTATATGATGTAGAGTCTCAAACCACTAGTTTCTCTTGTCTTATGGACTCCATCTGGCTAGTCTGCATTGCCCCACATAGCCTCAAACCAACAGTCAAGGACTTCATGCATTAATCCTATGTCTTAGTCTAGCTAATCCGAGCGTTTTTTCAGCCTGAATCTACTTCGGATTGTATATCTACCTTATTGTAAATCTAAGAGAGTCATGAGGATTTGGTTGGTTGTGGCTAGCAGAAGAATCCAGGTCGCGCGTTTTCTCCTAATTTGGGACTCGTCAGCTGTATGTACCTGCACCCCAGTGATGTTATTCCCACTGAGACTCGAACCTCATACGCATCGCTTCAAACGCCAAGGTGTTATCCACTATGCTACAGAGAGAATAACAAGTATGTCAATCAATAGTAATAACTATCATACGTTGTACAAGAAGTGGCTATCGTTTCTCTGTGACATAATGGATAACGCCTTGGCGTTTGAAGCGTTGGGTACGAGGTTCGAGTCTCAGTGGGAATAACATCACTGGGGTGTAGGTACATCCAGCTGACGAGTCCCAAATAGGAGGAAACACGCATCCTGGATTCTTGTGCTAGCCACAACCAACCAAATTATCATATTTAATATTCAGGCAATATCGAGGCAACTGCATAGGAGCCCATATGCCAATAGAGGTCGAACAATTCGATCCAACACAACAAAGCAACAGAGAATAACAAGTATGTCAATAAATAGTAATATCTAAAAAAAAGTTGTTTTGATAATAACTTTTTTTAAATATTTTCTCCACATTTTTTAATTGTTTTCAGATTATCGTTCAACCACTTCATTTCTTGACCACTGAAATATTCAACAGTTTTATTACTTTGATCATATGTGACAAATATATACCTCTAGAAATGAAAGGAGCAACTTGACAACAAGAGATTTGGTTATTCTCTAACCTTTGATCTCAGTTATCTACCTATTTATGATTTGCAACTTGATACTTAACAAAACGTGTTAAATGCCGAAACAGTGTTCACTTCAATGGATCACAATAAACAATTCTGATGGTCCAGTGTTACAAAATCATGCCGGTATTAGGCGTTTTCTTCTCTCTACTATGATTTAAAACATTTTTAGGTGGTATCATTCAAGGTGTTTTGTATCTTCATGGTGGAGTAACTTCTAATGATATCACCTTGTGTAAAGTACCAAGCAATTGTTTCTACAAAATACAATTATATCCCGAATTAGGTCATTGGTTAGAAATTACGTCATCAGATTCACCTGCTCTCAGTCAACACGTATGTTTGGTTTTCAAGAACAGATATCTGATTTTTATTGGTAAGCTAATATACCAGTTAGCTTTGATAACCAAAAATGAGCGTTTTTTTTGACACTAATTTCATAACTAAACTATATGACTAACCTGTTACAATAACTTACAACAGTGCTTCTTATGTATACTTTAGTAGAGCTTGCTTTACTTCACATCATTTCCAGAGTTTACATATACAGCAGGTAAGTTAATTCCACCCGCTTTCATGTTGGATAAAACGTCACCACCGAGTCGATTTCTTGGAATAGTACGTTTCATTATTTCTTATGAAAAAGGTTTTGAAATCGACAACTCAAAAACCTCCATAGAGAGAATAACTATCCACTGCTCACTAGTGACATAATTTAAAATGATATTTCTCGAAGTTCTAATGAAAAGTCATAACCTATGGGACAAATCGAAACTGGGGTGAGAACAAATATGTAACAATAAACAGATAAGAAGAAAAATTGACGTAGAAACCGTTATAGAAGTGAATAAGTTCAGTTTGTCACATTTCACAGCACCCTACAAAAAACAGGAGTGACATTTAGACAGAACAAAGTGTATTAAAGACGACAGAACAGATATATGAAAGTTAATGAAGACACTTAAAACTTTAAAGATAACAGTGTTTGCATCTAGACCATTTTGACTGATTTTGAGCGATTTCACTGAAATTCTGCAATGAGTTAGCCTACACCTCGACCAGTTTTCAAAGACTTCATAAACTGATGCCATTTCTCGTCTTGCCTACTCTTAGCTTTCTTCCAACCCACTTCTACCGTAGTCAACGTTGGATATCATAGTAGGTAGTGGACCAGTATACGCAACACGTCTACAAGCCACCTTAATCCGTGAAATGACTTGTTTTCCTTACCTTGAACAGTACACCTAACCTCGACACCGCTTACATGATGATGACGCTATGAAAATGTTTCTGATCACAATGTGTGATGTCTTCATATCGGCTACATTCTAAGGTTACATCTTATAACTGTTACAATAGGGCAAAGTGATCTGTAGAACAGTATACTTACTCTTTGATAAAAATTTGGTTAGTTTGCCCGCACTGGGAAAGACTTTGGTTGACAAATATCAAAAAGAAATTTTGCATCTGAGATCAGATTTATTCGACACAAATTGATGCCCCGTTGCTCCTTATAATTAAGTCTGGGGTCGTCAATTCAAGCTGCACACAGAAATAAATTGATAAATATGAAGAATGTTGGCAAGAAAAGCGCTACTGAAAATGATTTATGATTACAAACTACTCAACTTTGGCATATATGATTTCATACATCGTTTCTAAGCATATATTCCATGCACCAATATACATGAGTCCAAGATAGACTGTTGAAGACTAATACCAGTCCAGAAGAACGCTTCGACCGAAGTTATTGCAGATATCGTGATCAGATATTGGCGACCGAGATGTTGACTAGTAGGACTTTTCAATTTTCAAACTGCTCTCCTCTTAAGACTGATATTTTGCTAGTCGCGTGTAAAATTGTTAGAAGTGCGCAGCTTATCACTGATCACAGCGAATTTTCTACTATGTTAGAAAAAAACTTAGTAACCTTTCAATCACTTTTATTAAAAGAAAGCGAATTTCAGCTTGGAGATCCGTCTGCATATGATCAGGGCTGCGATGATTCTACGCTCCTAGGTTCTATCAAGAGTAGCCTGGTAATGACACTTCTGATATTTACTGGTTAACTGACTGAGATTACTTAGACGTGCGCAGTACTTGACAAGACACTGGAAACCTCTATGTTCAATGTTGGATTTGGTGAAACGAAGGCTAAGGGTAACCAGAACAAGATATGACATCAGTTCAAGAAGTATTTGACTGTTGGCCTAAAGTGCGCAGGTGGGTATAGCCTGCCTTACTGGAAAATTTCGCTGACATGACTCATATTCATTCAATTAGAATGGTGTAGATACATGTATCCTTTGTTATTTTTCAAGTTTTGAATACTTTCATTAACCGTCATATATTTATTCTGTCCTCTTTGATGTTATTGTTTTCGTATCCTGTTCTTCTTTGCTTAGGGTTTTAAAACGTGACAAATTGAACTTCTACACTCCTCTACTAGTTTCGGTATTCATACATTTATCTAAACTGTTGGCAAATAAGTCACAAATTCAATATTCTGTCCACTTCCCTGATGTGGGTAGCGTTACGTAGTCTCTGCTGCTCATACAACATATTAGACTGACAGCCTACTGCACTGAAATTCCTGTTTACTTTTTCTGTTGTTGAGTTTATTATCGCCGACAAACTCAGAAGGAGTAATTTAGGTGCTGTAGTTGTTTTGCGTCGTAATATCATTACAAGTCTGAACAAAGGTACTAAGTATTTTAGATTTGCCTTTGATTCTATCCCTAGACACCTTTCATTAAACAAACTTGTCGGAACCCTCATTGAGTCCTGGATTGCAAACTGGCTTCATTCTTATCTTTCTGAGAGGAAGTAGTACGATGTATACACAGGGAAGCGATCTACTTAGCTGCTTAGTGAAGTCGATGTGCCTCAACGCGCTATTCTTTCTTCTTTTCTCTTTTTTTTCTAATGCTCTATCCATCTTAACTAATCATCTCATCAGATTGTTTTCAGTTTATTAGGTTTTTAACTGAAATTGGTCACTGATCTTTCTTAAATGGTCTCACACTCAATCGCTGCAAATGTCAGATGGTTAGTTTCAGCTGCAGACGTAAACAAGACCTGTATAAATTACTTCAGTCCTATGACTCTTGTTTTATAGATAGTTCTATTGTAGAAAATGTATGAAGTGTGATTCATCTTCGCTTACGCTTTTCTTCTGAGCTTCCTTGGTCCCCTCATCATCTTACTGTTTCACAGAAAACTCCTTCGCTTAACCTGTTATATGAAGAAATTCAGACTGTCTGGCATAACTCAGCCTCTACTCTGCCGTTTCATTAATTTCCATGTTTTAGCTGTACTTACTTATTCCTCCTCCTTCTTTCCTAGACTGAGGAGAAAAGATTATATTGTATTATGTAGGATTTTAGAAGCTGTTAGTAAAGCAAGTGGTACACCACTGACCATACTGATAAATGCGGTTGTGTTGTGGATGATTATCTAAATTCTTGTAGACAGCTCTGGCTAAAAAAAATATATATATTTTATTTGATGACAACAAACATCCTCTGTATCCGGAGATCTCTCAATGTTTGTCAATAGGGAAGATAAGAAAAAAGCAGAGACAAAGATTATGCACGTACAACTACATTGAAAAGTTCATAGATATCATCTTGATGTATATGGTGTGAAGAAAATCATGTTAGACCAGTGTGTTTGCTATCAATCAACAATCTTATTATCCTTTATTATAAACTGTTAAACAGTATCATTATTAAATTTTGAGGGGGTTGTGGAGATTTGGAAATATTTCAAGTTGTTATTCATCGAAGACTGACATCAGTTGGAGGAACAAAGGAAACCTGGGAGCACTGGACAGCTGTTTCGTCCGACTAGTATGGGACTCCTCAGCAGTGCGCACCCACGACCTTGCTGGTGGGGTCGCGGGTGCGCACTGCTAAGGAGTCCCATACCAGTCGGACGAAACAGCTGTCCAGTGCTCCCAGGTTTCCTTTGTTCCTCCAACTGATGTCAGTCTTCGATGAATAACAACTTGAAGTATCATTATTAATGTTTATGCAATGGGTGAACTTGTGACAATTCCATAATGTGAACAAAATTATGGTTTGAAAGGCAGTAGGTATATTATTACTACTACTATTATTAGTATTATTGTTACTATCAGTATTATTCCTATTGTTATTATCATTATTATTTTTATGAATATAATTATCCTTATTGTCACTATTACCATCATTATCATTGTTACTGCTGTCAATATTACTATCATTATGATTTGTTTTGTTATTATTATTATTATTTTTCGTATCACTAGTATTGTGAGGAGCGAAAAGAGGGGGATATGCTGGACCGCAGAAAACATCCTAGAAGATTTGGATTTCACCGATGACTTGTGTCTAATGTCACACAAACTTGAAGATCTACAGGCGAAAACTAATAAATTGACAGAATAGGCGTGGCAGCAAACACGGGACTTCGAGTGAATGAAGAGAAGACAGAGATGGTGATGATGATACCCAACCAACGCCACCAACAACAAGCTCCAACCACCATGAACAGGAGAAACTTAAAGGAAGTAGTCTCTTTCACCGATCTAGCCAGCATCGTCCCAACTACAGGTGGTACAGGCATAGATGAGGACGTCAAAGCCAACCAGTCAGGATAGGAAAGACAGCAAGACAGGCTTTCATTAACCTGAAACCAGTGTGGAGATCTTCTGCACTCAGTATGAAGAACAAGATCCAGATTTTCAACACAAATGTCAAGTCAGTGCTTCTGTATGGTTCAGATTTCCAACAAACTACACACATTCATCAACAACTGCCTACGCTGGCTTGTCACTGAAGCTCAGATGGCCAGAATAATAAGAATAAGCAAAAAGGAACTCTGGCTGGCTGGCTGGCTGGCTGGCTGGCAAGGAACCAACGAAGCAAGAACCTATCACTCAACAAATATGCACTGGAAGGAAGTGTAGATGGATTGAGCATACACTGAGAAGGCCGACTGGTGACATCACTCTCCAGGCCAGTTGCTCGAGTGGAACCGAGATGGGAAACGATGAGTTGGGCGTCCTAGGGGAGGGTGACATAGATGAGATGGTGTGAGGAAGAAATGAGAGGTTGTGGGCTGTCATGGAGCCAGGTTGAAAAGTTTGCAGAGAACAGAGTTCAATGGAGGCGTGCTATTGAAGCCCTCTGTTCCACTAGGAACCCAAGGGACATATAATAATATTAGATAAATAGTGTGGTTATTGTTACCATTACTGTCTTTATTATTACCGTTATCATTGTAACTATTATTGTTACTATTACTTTTGTTATTATTATCATCATTATTATCATTGCTTTTATGATTATTATTGCAGCTATTGTTGTTACTGTTATTATTGTCATTGTTGTTATTGTTATGATTGTCATTACCGTTCTTCTGTTTACTGTTGTCACTGTTATTCTTTCTGTCTGTTTATTTGTTGTTATTCTTGTTATTGTTATCATTATTGTTGCTGCAAACACTATTATTATTCTTACTACTTTTTAATGTGCTGGCCATGGAACCTGAAGGTCATGGGTTCGATCCCTGGTGGGATCGGGGGTGCACACTGATGCAGAGTCCCATACTAGGATGAAACACCTATCCAGTGCTCCCAGGTTTCCTTTGTTCCTCCAACTACTGATGTCAGTCTACGATGAATACAAACTTGAAATATTTCCAAATCCCCACAACTTCCTCAAAATGTTTTATTGCTTTTACTGTCGTCATCATTAATATTTTTGCGATTATTATGGTGATTATTGCCGCTACTATTACCATCATTATCATTACGATTATCACTATTAATAATATCATCATAATCACTATTATTATTATCATTATTACGATCGATATTGTCGTTCTTATTATTATCCTTACGATTATTATTACCTGTATTAGTATCGCTATTATTATTATTATTATTATTATTATTATTATTATTATTATTATTATCACTGTCCTTAATTATTTTTACAATGGCTTAACTGCATTTCATGTTGATTGATCGAAATACAGAAGCATAGTGACTGGCGAAATCTTGACTACTTACTAACCTTTATATTATCCATCATAGACTATTTATTACCTTATGACTACGCCATAGACTTACCATCTACTTTACTATTGTTTATGTATACAACTGAGATTTGTAGTTTACTACGAAAATAGGACATGCTTTAAATCAAGCTTTTCGGTAGTGTTTTACTCATTTAGCCGACTTATTATCAAGGTAAGTCGTTTGGGAAACTTGTGCTATTGATGCATAGTGATGATTAAAGGTGAAATAAAAACCCCCAAGTTTCAACATGACTCGAAACAAAGGCTTCCAAATTACTTATTTAGTCCTTTATCAATTAGGCTATAAAACATAGTTGACAACTAGGTCTGTCTTTACTTCATTTCAGTCGCCGATGGTTTTGTCTGGCTGCTTGATGTCTAACTGTTCACACACACTGACTATGCAGCTTGATTCTGATTGGTAGGATAAGATTTTTTCGGTGTTAGATAAACAGTTTGAATGGTGATTCAAAGTCTCATTTTACCTTCCATCATTAACCTTTATTAGTAAATTCTTCAGGCATACTGTAATTAATTCAGTCATCACAGTTTAGTGTCCAATTAGACAGACATGAAGAACAACAATTCTAGTCATAAACTTGTAACTACATAATATTTTTTATGCCTCCTTTCCGTAAAGAGAAACTACTTACTTCTCACTTCATCTAACCTTATAGGTGGATGGAATGGTCATACACGAATCTCTGGTGTACATACATTTGATACACAATCAAATATTTGGTTACCACCTGCTTTAAATGAACCCTTACTGAGTGGATTTCCTCAAGGTGCTGGTTTATCAGCACATTCTGCACATACCATACATTCAAATAATGATGAGAATAGATTTTCAGCTATTATTCTTGGACGACAGGGTTCATTAAGAATGCAACGAAAAGCAGGAAGTATTTACTTACTCCATGGTAAGTTAAGTTTAGACACTTTCTTTGCTAATGATTGATTAGTATGTATATAGTAGTCAATAAGTTGTTAATCTGATGTAATACTGGATGATTGTGTGAATTGATTAGTATTCATCATGTAGTGACATCATTTGGAGGACCATTGAAAACCTAAGATCACTGAACAACTGTTTTTCCATAATATGGGATTCTCAGCAGTGCGTAATCATGACCTCGCCAGTGGTCGAACTCACAACTCAACCCAGTAGCTCAATGGCAACTTTCTCGCTGCGAAATTTAAAGATCCTGTGTTCTATACTTGCAGGGTAGGATCGTGGATGTACATGGCTAAGGATTCCCATACTGAAATAATATATCTGTTTAATATTGTCACGTTTTCTATGATGCTCCAAACGATATCACTGTGTAGTGAATACCAACTTTAAATAATAGACACTTATTTACAAACTATACAATTCATGGTGAGAGTTAGACAACCAGTTACACAGCCAGATCTTTTTAATACCATAAATGGTTTCATGATTGTGAATGTGATAGGTGTATGGTTCATACTACTGATGGATATGAGTAGTTGTACATTATTCACGCCTATAACCAGTGTTCCCTAGTTGGATGAACGTGATCTAAATACTTAATCTTTGTTTTACTCGTTTAAAGCTAAGCTCAACAGTGGTGTATGTGAATGGATTCAACTGAAAAAGGTGAATTGTTTAAATCACTCGAATTCTGAATGACCAATTGACGTTACTGATAATATCCCCATCTTTTGAGGGAGTTGTGAGGATTTGGAAATATTTCAAGTTGTTATTCATCGTAGACTGACATCAATTGGAGGAACAAAGGAAACCTGGAAGGACTGGACAGCTGTTTAGTCCGACTAGTATTGGACTCCGCATCAGTACGTACCCACGACCCCATCACGCCAGGGATCGAACCCATGACCTTCAGGTTCCGTGGCCAACACATTACCACTGAGCCAGTGGGTCAGAATCCAATTATCCTAGGACGGGAAAGCTGTCCAGTGCTCTTAGGTTTTCTTATTCCTCCAACTGCTGATGTCAGTCTACGATGAATAACAACTTGAAATATCTCTATCTACCTGTTCATTGGTTCAAACGTGTAACAAAGATGCTCGTTGTTATCCCGTCTATGACCATTATGGGTATATTTTTAGCACATTTTTCCATTGTTATTGTAGAGTGAAGAACATTTAATTGATTTTAGAAATTGACGAAATGATTGATTGTATATTTGCATTTCAAATGAGTGTTTTGTGTTAATAAGGTTTAAGTGATCACGGATCAACACTTTATTATTATTATTATTATTATTATTATTATTATTATTATTATTATTATTATTATTATTATTATGTGGACAAAATCAGCAACAAGCTTTACAACAATCCTGTCTTTCAATATTAATGGTAGATATTGGAATCCAGGAACTACATTTCGTCCTATTAGAGACTTGTCAGGTAGGGAAACTGAGCCAATCGGAAACGTATCTTGGGTGTATTTATGGAATCCCATGCCAACGAACCGACAACGGTAATCGTCTGTTGCAATTTTGTTCCGATAATCATTTGTTTCTGATTGGCATTCACTTTAAGCATAGAGAGAGAGAGAGACACTGTTTCACATGGCGTCCGCCGAAGTTAAACCAACGATCGATACATAGATCACATCATTATAAGCCATAGTTGGAGAAGATCGATGGAAGTTTGCCACTTTTTCTGCAGTACCTGTTTGAACTCCAACCGCACACTAGTACGGGTTTGTGTATGTCTGTGTCTGTCTGGTCGCAGTAAATAGGCAACAGCGGATCATGTCTGTGTACGGCAGGAGGATGAGAACGTGAGGTAGGTATTTAGGGAGGAGACAGCTAAGCATTTATCTGAACGTGACCGCGATGGTCATCCAACAGGGGTAAAGACGATTGACAAATTACACCAGAAGTTTAACAAATGTCATTGAATTTCTGCAACGCCATCCGAATTGATTGATGCGAGAAGACTGATTTCAGCTGGCTAACTCTGACCACAATGAAGCACGAAAACAACTCAAATGTAAATGGAGCAGGAGTTTTTGAAATGATCGTGAGCAGTGGTGGGTGACGAAAGCGAGCGAAATGGAGAAGGCATCAGCGTTGGGTAACAACTGGCAAATATTTAAGTTTATTAAGAAGACCGACAAGAAGAAAACGGTGGTGAGTGAAACCATCACCGAAAAGGATGTTATCCTGATAACCTTCAAATACAGACAGCTAGAACGTTAGGCAAAACACTTTGAAGCACAATTCAACTGATACACAGCAACCCTTCGCTTACCCAACATTCAGCCTGAATCTGAATCACACGCAGATGTCGGTCTTCGAACCCTTTTTAAAGTTGAGGAGTCTTCGTCGAACCTGAAAAGACGCAAAGCATCAGGACCTGATAGTTTGCCACCTAAAGTTTGTTGCTTAAAGCGGTGGAGGTACTAAGTAATCTATGTGACTCAAAGGTAGTCCCAGCAGACTGGTCCACTTCCTATGATAACCATAAGCGAATCAATTTGACTAATACTGTGTTCAAGATCCTACAACCCACAGTTATGCAACGCCTAAACTGGCGCTCGACAATAACAAACCCGAGGAAACCAGGCTGGTTTCAGACCTGGATGAGGGCGCATCGGTCATATTTTTACTCTACGACAGGTTCTCGAACACAGGCATACCTACCGGCAGCTGACATACCATATTTCTTGACCTGAAGGCGGTGACATTTGAATTTGTCGAGCGTCAGGTGTTGTGGCAGCGTCTGACTGTGAGGGAAGTACCGAGCAAGTATGCAATCCTTATCAAAGCTCTCTACTCAAATTCACACAGCTGTTTAAAAGCCTATGAAGAGTTGTCTTCAGAAATGATGACAACTAGTGGTGTCCTTCAAGCATGCCCACTGTCACCGTTCCTATTTAATTGCGTCATAGACGTACTAATAGACATAGCCTTAGGTATGTCTGACTTCATAGGAATCGGCTTACTCCCTTGAGGTTATCTAGTTAACTTGGAGCATGAAGACGATGTTGTCCTGCTAGGAGAAGACGTTGACAAAATTCAGGGTCTTCTGGACGCCTTGTGCAGAAATCTGTGTATGTTTGGCATAGGTTCCGCTTGCTGCATTCATCACTGTTCTGCAACTATTCACAGTTTAAAGATAGGGAATCAAGTCATGAAATGTGTCAATCACTTCACTTACCGGGGGAGTTGCATCAGCCCAAACTGGCTTGGATAGAGAAGGCCCGTTTAGCATTTGCCAACTTGCGTTACCTGTGACTCCGGGAAAATATCTGGCTAACTGTCGAAAAACGAGTATACTGCCCTGGAGTTTTTTGTCTCTTGTTTTACGGCCGTGAGACATGGTCGTTAAAAGTAGAAGACATGAAGTGGTTACAGATCCCTGATTACAGGTGCCTTCGTAGCATCGTTCGTGTTTGGTGGAATCGCCTTTTGAGTAACGTTGAGGTCAGGATAGGGGTACTAGGCGAAACAGGCAAGTCGATTGATGAGGTTGTGAACCTTCATAGGGTGAGATGGTTTGGACATGTGTTGCGCATACTAAGCCACGGCCTTCCTTGAAGCGCTATTCTGGGTTAGTTGGATTAAGTTGGAAAAGGGATCAAGGTGGCCAAGTTAAGACGTGGCACCAGTCGATGAAGTCCCTGAATCTTGGTCTGAGTCTTGTAGGGAGTTGTAGATTGCCTGGCTGAGATCTCTAAGTCGAAAGGGATCACTGGTTGAAAACTGTTGGTGACATGGCTGGAAATCGGTCACAATAAGGCGAGATGTAATGGTACTTTGACCTCTCCTAAAGCCCGAATATTCGCAGTGACCTTTATCCTCAGATTGTTTATTCTCTCACACAACTTTATCTAGTTTCATATCACTCCTTTTCCATCAACTACTGTGAAGTGTGACAACTTGAGCCGATGGGATTGTGTACGTGATTCTACGTTGATTCTATCTGTTTGTCCTGGGTGTGAGTGATGTTGTTCCCACCTGGACTCGAACCCAGAATGAATCACTTCAAACACTACAGCTTCATCCGCTAGGCTACTGAGTCACGATAGGTACTATTTGTGCGATGACTATAGCATATTTTAAATGTTACGGTTTGAAGTTTTCCCTCATTGATTGCAGTGGTCTGGTGTTTGGGACGATTGGTCAGTATCAACAATATCATTCTCACGCAGGCATGTACACCCAAATAAAAGGAAATGGGTGTCCTAGATTCCGCTGCTGGCCACTAACCATCAATCACATCAAAAAACTGAAAATCTTGGTGATATCGAGGAGTCTGCTCAGGAGCCAGTATGTCATCAATAGTGACTGGTCAATTCTGTCCAACCGACAATAGGAAATTACAAGCTATAATATATAATCCTCTCTCACTCTCTCTCTTTTATTTTGATTTAATTCTCCTACAGGTTATTTATTCGATGAAGACCTGTCTACAAAAAGAATGAAATATGTATACTGTGAGGCGGATTCCAGTTTAACAACATCTTCACGAAGTTATCATACATCGACAGCTATATCCTCATCTACTTTACTCACAATTGGTGGTTGTAAAAGTAATTCAGTAGAGGTATTAAAATGGAAAACTGACAATAAAAAGAAGGGACAATTAAATTGGCCTGGTTCACTCGATTTCTCATCAATGTTATGTACAGTTGTTACAAATTATATTAAAGATATTGAAAAGCAAAGAATTGATCTGGTACAACTTGCACCATCCAATCAAAAGTAGGCGTTTCAAGGTCATATATAAGATCGGTGTTTTAAATAGTTTGTGTACTCTTGACTTTTAAATATTAATTAAAATATAAATTTGGGGGCATTATTCAAAATATTAGATAGTGTTCATAGTTTACAGAGAAGCACAGAATCATGTACACAGTTGACAGGCTAATACTTGAATATTGATGGAGAGTAGTATTTTTCTCAAGTTGACATTCATCATGGACTGATATCATTTGGAGAACTATTGGGAACATGAAAAAATTGGGCACCTGTTTCGTCCTAGTATGGGACTCCTCAGCAGTGCACACCCGTGACCTCGTGCTCTAAAGATCGAGCTCTAGGTTTTTAGGTTTCGCAGCAAGCTGCTACGAAACCTCCAAATTAAACGTTTTTTTCACTAAAAAAACTTTCATTGTGGTATCCAAGTGATTATCAAAGATTTTAAGAGTGCTGAGTAATTGACAAGTACTTCTTTTTTGCCAATTAGTAGTAGACACTTGTAGTTCCTCTTCAGGGGTTGTTTTTCGACCTTCTAACAGTTGTTTCAATGACTATTTACCATCTGCAGCCAATTCAGTATGTAGTAGACTGAGAGCTGTTACTTGAACGTGATGATTGAGTTTGCTTGTCTCAATGATTTACTCACACCGGCTGGCCTACCATGCTATAGAGGTGTACTGAATAGTGGTAATACTTTCATAATGAAGGATTTAAGGTAAATTCCTACTTCTGACTGTGTTCAGCACATAACCAGCCTACTATGCTAATACTTCCTTTTCTAATCAGAAAGAAAGGTTACAATAGTTTGACTGTAGAAATAGAATATTCTTCCATGCCCTACGTTCCCCCAGTACTGGCGGTATAGCCTTTTGTCTCCACGATTCAACATAATCAAGCTCAAAGATGGAACTTCTACAAAAACCATGTTTGATTGACCTCAAGTAGATATGCCTTAAACTTTGTGATCACGTTAAAATAACACATTTTCTCTTTCAAATACATTTACAGAAGAATTTCCACAGTATGGGCAAGTGCAAAGTACTAAACACCCGCTTGCTTGCTTGCTTGCTTGCTTGCTTGCAACAGTATAAAAGTCCGTACTAAGCGTAACCTACCGTCTTCACCAACTTCAACTTCTCATCCTACAATTACTGATAAGGATACGAACTATCAAAACAGCGATTCTGTTATATGCTAGGTTCTACACTGTTCTGTCGTCTCTTGGTTACTGTATTCTTTAAATCGATCCACAGGAGTCATAATATTTCTTATGCTGAAGCATTCAGTTAACAAGCTGAGGGGATATTGTATTTTTCACCTTCTGTTAACTAGAAAAATCTATACGTTGTTAGTAGAGAACAAAAGAACCACTATCTTCTCTGATTATATATATATATATATATATATATATATATATATATATATATATATATATATATGATATTTGAAAAGTTATATCCCATGAGGAAAACTAAACACTATATGATGATGATGATGACAATAATAATAGAGCGGATGATGACATAGGCATTTGTGATTATGATAACGATTGAAGTGTGAATGATAACAAAGTAGATTACATAATATATGAAGTGGTTCATAGATGGTGTATAACTCAGAAGGGAATGAAAAAAAATTGATGAAAGTTGGTCAAGATGAAATCAATGTTTTTTAAAAGGATTAAAACAACCAAGTGAAATAACACCAGCAACTAATCAAAGTGAAATCAGTTATAAAAACAATAATAGTGATAAAGGAAGGATACAAAGGTTAGATTAACAAACGGGGGTGGAAGGTAATGGGGTGGGAAAATGTAATAGCCATGGCTGTACATACTTCTTTTGTACACATCAATCAGGTCTTAGTTCACCTGCTCTTGTGGAGCAAGGTACATCGGCCGTAGCCAGAGAATACTTTCTACACGTATACGAGAACATATTCCTGTTTGGTTTTATAAAGGTGAAAGAAAGTCTGTTAAAAGTTCGATTCTAGAACATTTGATTGACTTCCATTACACAACAAATCCAGACAATAACTTTAAAATTATTTATCAAATTCACCCAAACTTCCCACGTTCTCTTCGTTTTCAGCTCTTTAAAACAGCGGAGGCTTTAGCTATTCATGAACTAAGACCTGATCTATGTGTACAAAAGAAGTATGTACAGTCATTGTTTTTATTATGGCCCCATTAGCTCCCCCTCCACTTTGTTAATTGAACCATGGTAACCTTTGTATCCTTCCTTTATCACTATTATTGTTATTATAATCGCCTTCACTTTAATTAGTTTCCGGTGTTATTTCACTTAATTGTCTTAATCTTTTTAGAAAACATTGATTTCATCCTGTCCAACTTGTCTAATGCTATTACAAAACCTGATGGTCGTGAGGACAGTTACTCAACGATGACATTGAGTGGCGGTTGCGCTATATCATGAGCTAACAGAAGTTGGAAATATGGACGATTGGATTTTGACCCAGTGGCTAGCTCAATGGTAACGTGCTGGCCACGGAATCTGAAGGTGGCGGGTTTGATCCCTGGCATGATGGGGTCGTGGGTGAGCACTGCTGAGGAGTCCCATACTGGTCGGACGAAACAGCTGTTGAGTGCTCCCAGGTTTCCTTTGTTCTTCCAACTACTACTGATGCCAGTCTACGATGAATAACAACTTGAAATATTACATAATACTTAATTGATTTACCATTTTCAACAATTTTCTCACCCCCTTACTGAGTTATATATCTTCTATGAACCACTCCATATATTATGTAATCTACTTTGTTATCATTCACACTTCAATCGTTATCATAATCACAAATGTCTATGTCATCATCTGCTCTATTATTATTGTCATCATCATCATCATATAGTGTTTAGTTTTCCTCATGGGATATATATATATATATATATATATATATATATATATATATATATATATATATATATATATATATATACGATTGTGCCGCTTGGAAACAAATTTATTGAAAACTTTTGTCATGTTTTAAATATTCTTTGTCTGTTACACTGGACATGACCAGAATTCGATATTGGGCATATTACGTCATCTTATTTAATCTTTTATAAGGAGTATGAGTATCATCAATTCCTAGAAATACGAAATGTGTTATTGTTACCTTACTATTACTCTGATTTCAAACATACACACAAACTATAATTCAACTGACTGCACTGTTTATAAGTACGTTTATTGTAGTCGATTGTAAAGCTAATAGCTTATTTTCTTCTCCGATTTACTATTTTAATCGATTATTCAGTCTGAAACCATCTGAATCTTCTTGGTACTATTCCATATCAAAATCTGTAAATATGTTGGGCATAAAAACGTTTTTTCTAGTTCATTTTCTTTGAGTACCTTTATTATTATTATTTGTCCCTTGGGTTCCTAGTGGAACATAAGGATTCAGTAGCACGCCTCCATTCCACTCTCTTCTCTGAAATCTTTCCAACATGGCTCCATGACAGCCCACAACCTCTCATTTCTTCCTCACACCATCTCATCTATGTCACCCTCTCCTCGGACGCCCAACTCATCGTTTCCCATCTCTTTTCCACTCGAGCAACTGGCCTGGAGAGTGATGTCACCAGTCGGCCTTCTCAGTGTATGCCCAATCCATCTACACTTCCTTCCAGTGCATATTTGTTCAGCGATAGGTTGTTACTTAGTTGGTTCGTTACCAGCCAGCTAGCCAGAGTTCCTTTTTGCTTATTCTTATTATTCTGGCCATCTGAGCTTCAGTGACGAGCCAGCGTAGGAGGCAGTTGTTGATGAATGTGTGTAGTTTGTTAGAAATCGTTTCCGTAACACGCCAAATCTCTAAACCATACAGAAGCACTGACTTGACATTTGTGTTGAAAATCTGGATCTTGTTCCACATGCTGAGTGTAGTGCAGTAGATCTCCACACTGGTTTCAGGTTAATGAAAGCCTGTCTTGCTGTCTTTCCTATCCTGACTGGTTGGCTTTGACGTCCTCGTCTGTGCCTGTGCCACCTGTAGTTGGGACGATGCTGCTTAGATAGGTGAAAGAGATTACTTCCTTTAAGTTTCTCCCGTTCATGGTGGTTGGAGCTTGTTGTTGATGTTGTTGGTGGTGGCGTTGGTTGGGTATCTTCATCACCATCTCTGTCTTCTCTTCATTCACTCGAAGTCCCGTCTTCGCTATCCTGCCTCTTCTGTCAACTTATTAGTTTTTGCCTGTAGATCTTCAAGTTTGTGTGACATTAGACACAAGTCATCGGTGAAATCCAAATCTTCTAGGATGTTTTCTGCGGTCCAGCATATTCCCCTCTTCTCGCTCCTCACAGTTCGCTGCATGATCCAGTCGACCACAATCAGGAATATCATGGGTGATAGTGGGTGGCATCCTTGTCTTACTCCAATCTTCAGTTCATAGGCGTCACTGAGCTTCCCATTTTGAATTACTTGGCAGGTGGCGTCTTCATATAGTTGTTGAATGAGGTTGATAAAGGTTTGTGGCACTAAAACCGTAGTGTTGAAGCAGTCGCCAAATTAGTTTTCAGTCGATGCTATCGAAGGCCTTTTCAAAGTCGATGAAGTTGAGGTAGAGGGTTGACTGCCATTCTATGATGTGTAGCGTTGCAATTTGGTCCGCACATTAATTGTACTTCCTGAATCCAGCTAGCCTTTTCTGGTCGTAGTTTTGAATCCAGAGCATCCGTTAGTCTGTCCAGGATGATGTGGCTTAATATTTTGCTTGGTTCGGAGAGGAGTATGATTCCGCGCTAGTCCTTGTTCTTGCAAACACTTAGGTAGCCCTTCTTCTGGAGTTTGACAAGATGGCCCTTCTTCCAACCAACCGGCAGGTACCTTCCCTTCCTTCCAGACCTTCTGCAGTAGTGGTGTGAGCATGTCCGCTGTTGTCTCTGCGTCTGCTCTCAGTGCTTTGGCAGGATTCCATCTGATCCTGCTGCTTTCCCACATTTCAATATCTTTACCGCGTTCAGGACTTCCACTTTTGTTGG